GGTGGTGGGTTGGTGCAAGTACGGGTTCTCTTCTGTGTTCCTCCACCACAGGTCTTGCTACACGAAGACCAGTCCGAGTATGATGTCCATCCACCGTTAACTGGAAAAGTATAAAGTATCGAGTGTTTGTCACTTACTACACTAATAAATTACAAKTTACTTAGTCTAGCTAAAATAATTTGTATGTGCAAAAATGTCAGACCTGGGCAGGCGTTTGTATTACATTCCTGGGTCTCTTCTCCAGGTCCAGAACAAGGGTTTCCACCGTGAGCTGGTGGTGGGTTGGTGCAAGTACGGGTTCTCTTCTGTGTCCCTCCACCACAGGTCTTGCTACACGAAGACCAGGCTGAATAGGCACTCCATCCACCATTAACTTCATGTCAAATGGAAATTAAAWTTATTATACGGATATTGCACTTTGCATTGCAAAAGGAATTTTTTAAAAGCCATAATCATAGCCAAAATTTTTTCAGACCTGGGCATGCGTTTGTATTACATTCCTGGGTCTCTTCTGCAGCACCAGAACATGGTTTTCCACCGTGAGCTGGTGGTGGGTTGGTGCAAGTACGGGTTCTCTTCTGTGTCCCTCCACCACAGGTCTTGCTGCACGAAGACCAGGCTGAATATGCACTCCATCCACCATTAACTTAATGTTAAAGGGACAAAATGTTTTTAAAGTTATCATATGAATAATGTTATTATATACGTAGCATAAAATGAAAATTGTATTTTTTCGAAGAAAACAACCATGGCATAAAAAGTGTCAGACCTGGGCAGGCGTTTGTGTTACATTCCTGGGTCTCTTCTGCCGGACCAGAGCAAGGGTTTCCACCGTGAGCTGGTGGTGGGTTGGTGCAAGTACGGGTTCTCTTCTGTGTCCCTCCCCCACAGGTCTTGCTGCACGAAGACCAGKCTGAATATGCACTCCATCCACCATTAACTTAATGTCAAATGGAAATAAAATGTTTTTTAAAGTTTTATACAGATAGCAAAATCTACATAGCAAAAATGGAAAGTGCATTTCCTAAAAGAACAAATTTTGGCCAAAATATTTCAGACCTGGACATCCGTTTGTATTGCATTCTTTTGTCTCTTCTGCCGATCCAGAACATGGTTTTCCACCGTGAGCTGGTGGTGGGTTGGTGCAAGTACGGGTTCTCTTCTGTGT